CATCCACCCGCCCCCCGGAGCCTCCCAGGAGAGCAGGCCCATTGCTATATGCAGCTTGTGTGGCAGGGGGATGCAGGGGCCGTAGGGCCCTTTACTCCAAGAGGTCAAGCTTTGGGACTGGGACCGTGTCTGGCTGGAGTCCCAGGGCAGGGGCCCATCTGCAGTTCTCACTGAAGGCTGGGAATAGCAATAGTATTAGTCAGTCAATAGCCATTCCTTTGTGGCAAGCTGAGTGTTTATTACAGCAACCCTGCGAGATGGTTTTATCCCAGGGGAGGAAACTGAAGCTGCAGAGATAAGAGGTTGTTGAGGACAAGGTTGGCTGGAAAGGAGTTTTTTGGAGTTTTTTGTTAACTCCAAAGACCATAGCCCCAATGATCCACTATTTTCCTTTAACAATAACTTACCATTTAATACGCACTTATTAAGTGCTGGGCACTTGCCAAGCACTTTACATATATTATTTTTGCTAGTTTTTTCAAGTAATCGTATACAAAAGGCATTTTTATCCCTATTTTACAAACGAGGAAAGTCAAGCTCAGGAAAGCGAAGACACAGGTGGGAAATGTACTCAGGGAGTACATGGTGGAGGTGGGCTCAGAATCCAGTCTGGCTGTTCCCCGGGCTGATCTTCTTTGGAATTTTGCTTTATGGAACCAATTCCAGGGGCATCTTTCAGGAGCACCTCGTCTGGGCCCAGGGCTCTCCTAGCAGTCTCTTGCTGCCTAAGGTCTTCCCTAAATCAGCCTGAGATGCCCGTGTGACTCCAGGAAGATTTTATGGAAAAGGCTTCCACCTTGTGGCCAAATGGCAAACACAACATACCAGGAGGAGGTGATGGCATGGGAAGGTGGGGCATTGGGAACAGGTGAAATTAACAGGGGAAGAGACTGGCTGGTGCAGCTGTGGGTGCCGGAGGGAGAGCGAAGCAGCTGCCCCAGGATGGAAGGTGGGGCTTGGGCGTGGGCGTGGTGGAACCTCCCCACTTGGACTCATCAGAGCAACCTAGGCTAGACTTCTCCTTAAACCCTCCTGCCCGATTGTGGTGGGGAGAAGAGGGGCAATCTTTGGTGCATGACCTGGAGAGAGCTTCTTGGATGGGATCCTGCCCCTGGTGTTCCAGCCTGAATAGACACCATCCACCTCTCTGAGGAAGTTACAGAACCTCGTGCTTACTTACCAGATCTACACCTGAGGAGCTTTCTCTCTGTCCTCAGGGCCCCAGCCCTCTTCTGAGCTGTCGCAGCATCTCACAGGCTCTGGCCTCGCTGTCCCTCTTTTTTCTCTGCTTTGCTAATCATGTTAGGTTCCCCATGACCTTGTAGAACATCCAGCTTCTTAGTCTGATTTTCATTCCTGCTTCATTCCCTCTGCCAGGCTTTATCTTGTGCCATGCCCCTGCTGCAAAGCTCCAGCCCCCTGCTTCTCAATCTTCGTTGCGTGTGGGAATCACCTGGGGAACTTTGACACCCACTCATGATCAGAACACTCACCCCGAGATCCTGGTTTAATTGGCCTGGGACCTGTGTATAGAGCTTTATCTTGTGCCATGCCCCTGCTGCAAAGCTCCAGCCCCCTGCTTCTCAATCTTCGTTGCATGTGGGAATCACCTGGGGAACTTTGACACCCACTCATGATCAGAACACTCACCCCGAGATCCTGGTTTAATTGGCCTGGGACCTGTGTATAGAAAGGTCCCGAGGCAACTCTAATCTGTAGCCCCTGCTCCAGCCTTTCTGAACTTCTTGCCAGTCTATTTGCATATTTCTTCTCACTTCCATGTTTCCTGCTCTTCCCTCTGTCCAGAATGCTCTCTCCCACCTTCTGTACCTAACACCTCTTACCTGCCAGTGCCCAGCCCAAATGCTCGTGGAAAGAACACCTGGTCCTCTCCTCTGGGAGTCACTTTTTTGTTCATCGCTTCTCTGCCAGCTCTGACCCTGCTGTGTCCTAATGATTGGTGCAGCAGTTTGTCTCCCACCTTAGACCGTGCAATTGCTGAGCATGTTTTATCTATTGTTGTATTCCCAGCTTCTGGCTGTGAATGTTGAGTGTCTGCTCTGCTGTTCCTCACTCAGATGGCCAGTTTTCATATTGCTGAGACCCTCAATCCTCTCAATGTCATCCTTCCTGAAAAGCACTTGAGGCCACAATTAAAGGGCCCACACTGAACGCAGTTGTTCAAGTTCGCCAGGCCCGGGCGAGGAGGGGCGGCCAAGACCGTTCTTTGGCGGCTGCGTGGAGTGGGCTTTGCAGGAGGGTCCTCCTGCGTCCTTCCCAGCCCCCTCATAAAAATCTCTCTCCGTGACAACTGAGTAATGCCTCAGTTTCCAATCTGTGTTTGGAACAAAGATCTAAAAATAATAAAAATGAACATTTATTGAGTACTTACCATGTGTCAATGAAACATGCGATATCTCATTGAGTTATCCTAGCAGCCGTCCGTATCCCCGACCCACAATGGACTATTGTATGTGGGAAGAATAAGCTTTTCTCATGCTAACTTATGTTGGGTTTATCTCTTAAAGCAGGAAGTGATATTTATCCTAATGAACACAAGTCATCTTCCCAAGTTCTCATGTTTAGTGAGTGGTTGAGTCACGATCTGTTCCCAGGCAGGCTGACTTCAGAGTGCACAGCTTTAATTAACCCCTAGGCTGTCCTGCCTTACCAGAATGCTACACCAGACAGCTTATCCTGGTCATTCTAGGACTGGCCTGAGGAAAGGCGGGACAGGACATTCCCCCGAGGCTGTTTCCCTCTCCCATATTATGTGTTTGTATAGTGTGGAGTGAAGGGCTGGGATGGACTGGGTGTAACAGAAAACTCATAGATAATAAAGAATGGTGACCCGAAAGAGGAGAGTTTCAGGGTCTGGTCAAATTCTGGTAACACGTGACACATTCTTTGTGACACGCTATGTGCCTACCCCTTTGGGACTACCTGCCACCCAAGAGGCTAGGTGGGGCAGAGATGCTATGGGCTGAGTGACCACCCCTCCCCCACCCGCAACTTCTGGCCTGGGATCAACTCCCCACCTTGGTGGGTCCCACTGGCCGCATCTACTCCAGCAAGACACAGCACAGTGGCTAATCCCCTCACAGCTCCCACCAAACCAGGAGGTGAGCTGTCCTCAGGACCAGCCGGAAGCTGTTCAGTGAGTGCTTCTCCAAGAAGTCCTGATGCCAGTCAGACTGAAGGGGTAGGTGGTGGCTGGATCAAAGCACACAGGAGGAACTGTCTCCCATCCTCCTCCTGAAGGGAAACAGCCCACACTCACTGCACTTGGGGAAACCAGGCTGTTCACACGTGCTTCTGAGATGGAGGGTCTGGACCATTTTCGTGATTGTGTTTGCTTTACTAAATCATAGCTTGCTCTGCAGGCGATGCTAAAAGGGCTCCTGAGGCCCGATACCTGGGTTAAGGTGGGCTCGCTTCGCTCCTCTCCCTCCCCCTTTCCTTCTACCTGTGGAAACCGCCCCTGGTGGTTGGATGGCCAGGAAGGAAGTGAGGTGCCGAGCACAGGAGGGTCTCAGGGTGACAGACCGCCCAGACTTCCTGGAGAGGTTTTCAAATCAGCCACATGTGGGATTGAATCTGATTCCACCACTTACCAGAGGGGTGATGTTTGGCCTCCGTTTTCTCACCTGCAAAGTGAGTACTAATAGGAGCTCGTCCTTGAAATCCATCCACTCAATTCACTTCTGTTTCTTACATCAGTTTCCCTTACCTGCTCTCCACACTGCTTCCAGAGCGCTGGTTTATGAAATTAAGACTAATGGCTTCCTGTTGCTTTTAATGTTAAAAATAAATATGCAGTCTAGCCTGTGTATCTTCTGGACCCTGCCAGCCTCCTCTGGGTTCTGGTCTAACCAACGGTCTTGCATTTCCTTGCACTAACACTGCTCCCTCCACCACAGTCCCTTTGCATATACTGAGCCCCTCATAGGGATGCATATCCTGCTCTGCACCTGGTTAACTCCTACTCAACTTTCAGAACTCAGCAACTTCTGTGACATCTTTAGTCCAGGTCACATCCCCAGTGATGGCCCATAGCTTTATAAACTTATCCTTTTTGGCACTTAACACCCTTGTCAAAGAATTGGCAATTCCTTGCCAATTGTCCGCTCTCCTGCACATAAGTTTCATGAGGCGTGGGGACCCATGTTTCTGTCAACTTACCTCTCCCATCCCCAGGACCTAGCCCAGAACCTGGCATGTGGCAAGATCTCAATAACATGTTGAATGAATGAAAGGTGAGGATTGAGTGCAAACACTGCATGCAGAGCCCTCAGCACTGTGCCTGGCACCACGTGAGCACCAGTAAATATTAGCTGTTAACGATGATATTACTATTCTAATGTAGGAGTGGTGTCCAACAAAAATTCATCCAGACCTAAAGTGCTCTTCTTCTTTGCTTGCCCCAAGTGTGCAAGATTTGGGGTAAACTGAACACATGCACATACGCAGAACCACACAAGCACATCTCCCAATGTGGTGAGTGTGTTCCCCCTCAGTTTCCTGCGTGCTCTTCTTCTTTGCTTGCCCCAAGTGTGCAAGATTTGGGGTAAACTGAACACATGCACACACGCAGAACCACACAAGCACATCTCCCAATGTGGTGAGTGTGTTCCCCCTCAGTTTCCTGGCAGTGTCTCCCAGAACTAGAATGAGGTGGCAGGGAGAAGTCTGAATGTCTTAGGAGGGCTGGCGGGATCTATCCACACGGGGTCGGGCCTGAGAGTCCTCACCACCCACCAGCATCTGGCCGGACCCTTCTCTCCACCTCTGCTTCGTGCAGAGAGGGGGCTGGAGCTGCAGATGCAGGCAGGATAACTCTAGAATTATTAGGGCTGTTTAGGGAGCACTAAGATCCTAACAAAAGCTCCTCCAAATGTTCAAAACACCAGCTCAACCTCCGTGCATCTGGACAGCTCCTCCTTTCCTCCTGCAATGCTTGTTTTTTCCTTATTTCAAAGCATTTCCACAGAAGACCAGTGTCCACAGGAGTTTTAGAGACTTTATTTATGTATAAACAATTTAAACACTTTGCCATAAATTATCTTTGCCTGTCCCTAGTCTTTGCTTAGCAGCAAATTAAAATTAATATAAAAACTCGATGAACAATTCATACATGTATATTACAAAAAAAGTTCCTGTACCAAAGTTCTTATTAGACATTTTTTTTTGTTTTTGTTTTTTTAATTTTTAAAATTTTTTTTGTTTTTATTTTTTAAATTTTTTAAAATTTTCTCTCCTCGTGGTGACTGTCATGTGATTGTCTCAGTTTCTGGACCAAACAAACACACTAATAATTTTAAATCTGAAACAGTGATTGTGCCTTGTGGCTTATGTATGTACAGGGTGATCGGAAGTGGTACCTGTTAGCAAAAGAGTGTCACGATGCTTCACCTCTACCGTAACTGATACCCACGAACTACGGAATCTAAACAGACTACACCCTGTAACTGCGTATTACTGTCCACAATGGAATCTCCAAAGACAAAAGAATATGAAATTTATCTGTAGTGATTATAGCCACCATTGTGAATTAAATTTTACACTCTGCGCTCAAATAAATTAGCTCAGGCCAGACTAAGTAGGGACCTGAGAGTTAAGTGCTGGACGGTATTATTTCACTTTGCTTTTTGTATGAATTTCTTTTTTGTTTTTCTTGCGTTTTTCTTTTCCTTAAAAAGTATTTCCAGTGCTCACTCCTCCACTTTTGCCCTCCCCCCCAGGCGCTACACACAAATCACCCCCAAAGTCATGTTTTAAATGCACCTGTATTTGCTTAAACGGCAATGTCTGAAAGAATGTGTCCAACAAGCAGTCTGAATCAGTGTCCTCAGCTGGTCTGGTGACGCTGGCCCTCCTGGATGTCTGCATGTCGCTCACATGTGAATGAGTGAGGTATTGGATATGAGGCCTTTCTCGTCTTCATTTCTTTGTTTTTCTGTCGGCGTGTTTGTTTTGATTTTTGTTTTCTTGTTTGCTTTTTTGTTTTTGTTCTTTCGTTCCTTTTGGACCTTTTGGGTCACTTTTCTGTGTAGAACCCAGAACAAGTGGGTCATATGTTAGGGGAACTTGGAACATTGTGTGTGTTTGTTCATTCATTCATTCATTTTGTTTTCCTCGGAATTTTCAGCCGGGCTTTAGTCTACTTCAGGATGAGGGACTTCTCGCTTGGATAGTAGCATTTGAACTCAAAAAATGTGAGCTTCTTTGCCACTTGGTATCCTAAAGCAGCCCAGCCTCAGTGCCCCTGTTAGGTCTTCATCTCCTTAGGAGAGGAGATAACAGTTACTCCTGCTGAGCCATCCGGACAAGGAATGGCAGCAGATTATTTTGTTACCTCTTTCCCATCTCATTCTGTCTTAAAAACTGGATGTTGCTGCTACTGTCTGCGAGCTCTGGGTACTGCTCCACGGGAAGCACGTAATACCCCTCGTAACCTTGCACACGTCCCGTGCTCAGGAGCTGCTGCTTCTCACCCTCAGTCCACAGGCGGCTCCCCTCTCTCCCGTCCCTGGCTTTCTGCTGCTCCTTGGCCCAGGCGGTGCCCAGGGCCCTCTGCCTCGCCTGGTCCAGGACGCGGGCCTTCTCTTCGTCCAGGGTGTCGGGGGTGAGGCCGTAGCGGATGCTGAGCAGCAGCGTGGAGTACTGGAACTCAATGTTGGTGAACCTTCGAGTCCTGCCATTGACCAGCAGCGTGGGCTGCGAGACCGTCACGTTCACCCCACTCTCTAGCACCTTGCGGCCAATGGTGGTGCCCAGTGTGACCAGGTCACTGTCGGCCGAACCAATCTTCACAAAGTAGTGGGTGTCCTTGCCCTCAATGCTGTAGTGCATCTTGTCCAGGTAATAGGCATTGTTCAGCACAGATGCCACTTTGCGGCTGTCCTCGCTGGCAATGCTTGACATGCCGGTGGTCACCCGCCCTTCTTTGATGGCGAACATGATGCCTTTGCCAATGATGGGTGTGGTGGTGGCAAACCAGTGGCCTGCTTTCTCTCGGATGTTGGCATGGAGCTTTTTAGAAATGACTTGCCCTTCCAGAGCCAGGAAGGCCTGATTATGTCTCTCTGTTGTCTGTTGGACACCTGTAATGAGCTGTGGGCATAGGAAAACAGAGAAAGCTGAAAATGTGGGCCAGGCAACAGTTTGCGTGAGCTGGGCAGCTCATTAAAAAAGAGTCAGAAAGAGGAATGCTTGGAACTCCCCTGCAAGAACCAGTGTTGTGTCTGTACTGACCCAAGCTGATACAGTCCTACCTTTTGGAAGCAGGCACGGCTGGCTGGTTAC